TTTCGTTCTCGTTGTTTTCCCTGTCTGGGTTTTAGCTTGGACGGTTACAGACAGCGGCCAAAAATGCGAACAATACGGAAGAGAACCGGACTTCCAGCGCATCGCCCATCATTACAAACGGCACCACCTCTGATGACGGCGAAGTTGGAGAGAAGATGAACGAGCTTCGGTCCACCATTGAGATGCAGGTGTGTGCTTTGGTCTGCAATTACTTTTCTGACGAGACGTTTTCGTTTCTTATCGAATCATTCCATTTAATCCTTGGCTTCGTTATCAGATATCTGGAGTATCAAGTAAAAAATAACAAAAATAAACACGTTTTTTTCCTCTTGGTTGATCGGGGCGATGATGAACGATCTTACTTGTCATTCGTAAATCTTTCAGTAATTTGGATTGCCGTCGCCGTCGACTGCTACGCGTTTTGAGTTCAAGAATTTTTCCATCAGCCGCGCTGGAATCTCAACCGTGTGGAATGCGCCGGTCACGATATCGTAATCATTTTATTTTTTCAGAATTCGGAGCTTAGCAACAGTCAGCGGAAAATTTCAGAACTGTCGTCCAAAGTGTCAGAAATGGAGAGTGTTCTGGGCTCTGCACAGAGGGATCTGCGAATGGCACAAGATGCAAATGCCCGGTTACAAAAGGAACTCCGGGAAACGGAGCTGTCTCGAAAGGAGGACGAAGTAAGTTCATGCGCTGTTTATTTTCGGTATTTTTGTGATTTATATTTCTAACTCATGATGTCGTAATGATTTAAATTTCTTTTGTCTTGAAGGAGGAGAGAATAGTAGCCTTGGAGAAGCAATTTCTTACGTGTCAGCGTGAAGCAACGTCAGTTAGAGATCTCAACGAAAAGCTGGAAGAGGAGTTGAAGAACCGCGAGGCACAGCTGAAGGTGGGTGTTCATTGTGTCCAACAATGAACGACAAAAACTGGAATGAGTTGAAAAATTGTGTATCAATTTAGAGCTAATTTGATGCTACATGAATGCCTCTCCTTTTAACTGCGAACTCTCATGCAAAACTATTCAGTGCACAAAGTTGGAAAGCTGAAGGAAGATCAGACTAAAAGAGACTTCAATTTCGTGGAATTTCCATTTTTTGTTAATTCCTTTCACGGAGAACCTTCTTCCACGTACAGTACTCTATATTAAACTTATTTTCTCCTTTTTTTCATAATTGAAGTAGTTCAAAGTTTTGTTAACGCGTTGAAATGAAGTTCTTGGTGTTTTCAAATTTCCGAGTCATAATCAACCAGAAAGTTCAAAATCAGGAACAAGACTGCTGTACAGTATTGATTCACATTTTCTAAGAAAATTTCTCATATGTGCTGGACGATTTCTTGCTTACCAATTGAAGTATTAGGTCAACCTTGAAATTTGCCATCATTTTCATAGTCATTACCTGTATGAAAACGTATTTTTTTTAAGCTTGTTCACCAGATTGGAACGGTTTTATTATAAAGATTTTTAGTCATTTAAAATACAGTATTCGAATTGATAGCGCTCAAATCACCTGCGAATCACTCATGAAAAATGCGAATGCTGCAAGAAAACCGTATTTCTTCACGGTGGTGATACACGCATCTAGTTTCATTTTTCTCTCTAGCACAATATAGGCTAGAAAAAATTCGATCAGTCGTCTAGAAATGATTAAATGTTGCTAAGTGGAGTTTACGTCGATGTTCATTCATCCAACAAACTCAGGACTGAAAGACCTTATGGTGTTCCGTGTTACATTAGCTAACGGAAGAGAAAGTCAGGGCATTGGAAGAAAAGCTGGAGGTATCCGAGCAGAAAGCTATGGAGGTCACGGCGTTGGAAGAGCAGTTGAAACGGAATGCCTTCGCCGCCTCAAATTCCAACTCCGCGGATAAATCTGCTGACGATGCGGATGAACGTTCTTCTGCTGATGATCGCATTTTACGGCTCGAAAACGAGCTGGATGTGAAGAACAACGAAGTTATCCGGTTTGAACACCGACTCCGAGTCAACGAGGACCACAATCAGCGTCTATCAGCAACTGTCGATAAGCTTTTGGCCGAATCTAATGATCGGCTCCAGGTGCATTTGAAGGACAAGATGCATTTACTTGAAGAGAAGGCGCAAATGGGACATGATCTGAACAGATTCAAGAAAATGTTCGAGGAAGCGCAAGGAGAAAAGGTTATTCCTTCTTCAGTGATTTTTTTTTTTTTTTAGGTTAAAGAAGTTTTCATTGGAACGCTCTGTTTAAATTGTTTTATAGTTCTAAGATATTCCGTATGAAAATTACGGAAAAATAATCGAGGATTATTTATTTAGGGCATGGTGTTGGAAGAGCTAGCGAAATGTCGGGTGGAAATCGATGGTCTGAAGCGACAGATAATCGCGCAAGAACTGACAGCACGCACAGAAGCAATGACGAGGTTAGTACAGTTTGGTTAATTAACAATGTACAGTACGTGATTCTGGGACCAACAACAGATATGTAGAGAATAACCGTTCAAGCTTCAGGCTGCCGTATGGTATACGCAACCATCGGTTATTCCGTTAAATTTTTTGATAGCTTAGCTATTCGAATTACAGTCGAAGTTATTGATTTCTCTGCTTTCAGGAATTTAACGTCCACTCCAGTCAAAGAAAGCATTTCAGCTGTTGGTTCAGCATTTTATGATTCTAGGTCATTGCCGAGGCTTCCACCAAAGCCGCGAATGGCTGGAATTTCTCCAACGGATTCTTCCAAGGTATCGGTTCGTTCATTGATTTATATTTTTCTCACGATGGGCATGAATACATATTTTTATCGTCTAGCCTTCAATTAATCCTTTAGCCCCGCGGTTTCTGAATTTTTTTATAGTCTGAGCACGACGTCTCCGAATACAGTAATATCTTGTAGTTGCGAATTGATGAGAACTCTTGTACTGCGGTTACTTCCTTAGCAAAAATTTATCAACCCCCCGCTAAATCGTTCGCAGATTCACATCTGTGTGACTCACATGTCTGCAATACCTATTGAATGGTTGATTATCCGGACTTATAATATGGAACCTTGTTCCGAAATATTCCAGAAAAAGCGACACTTCATTGAAAAGTTTATTCAGACAATCAAAGAAAAATCCTGATTGAATAAGGAGCTGACGTAATACCTAGATTTCCGCAGATTTTGTGTGTTAGTCGGATATTTGGTCGATCACAGGGAGGATTAAATTCGAATTCTGCAGTTTCTCTTGATGAATTGAAATTTGGACACGATTATTCGAAGACTGGAGAAAGTAATCGGACTCCTTTCATAGCTTTTCTGCAAACACTTGGCACAATTCACAATATTCTTTAAATTTCAGCTTCTTTCAAAAAAATTGTTTCGCGTTTTTCAACCTTAGTTAGCATGGGATCTATTAATGTTCTTATGAGTAATTCACGCGACACCGTATTTCGATTCCTTCGCACGCACCGTTCACGGCTTAACTGCGTGTTGCTCGTTGGGTCTTCTGCTTACGTGATGTAGCGCCTGTCACCGGCGTTGCAGATGGTGCCGAGTGCGATGAACGCCGTGGACTGGGACCACCTCGACGAGGACTTCGACGACGGCGTTCACGGGGACCTGGAGGACGAGCGAGCTGCGGCGGAAAGGGCGCTCTTTTCTGGGCTAGATCTCATGTCTCCGGCTGGCGGCGGCGCTGGGGGAAGCCAATCCGATGCTCACACGTTGGCAAGGATGCTGCAGGAACAACTGGACGCCATAAACAACGAAATTCGGTACGCCCTTGAGTTGATATCATGATTCAAATGATACTCTTTGCTGCACTTTAATTATCTCATGATACCGTATTTGCTCAAGTACCACGCGCACCTTTTTCCTCAAAATTGAAAGGATAAAAGGGAAGGTGCGCATCATAGGCGGGTATACATTTTTTGAAAAATTTTAGGAGTTCAGGTGTATTTGAGTCGAACGGGAAAATTTGGAGAAATGTCGTCAAAATTTATTTTTATGGAAACAGTTGAAAATTAGTCGAATTCCGGTTTTATTCATGTCTAAATTCAAACTTGGGTTTTCTTATTTTTGGAATATTGCGGTTCTATTGTCACTAAGATGGGGAGAGCGTCTTACTTAATATAACCCTCCTTTTTCAACAAACAAATACCTAGCTGCATCATATAATTAATGATTTTCTGATTTGGCGTGTAAAATGCCTTACTCAACGTTTTAAAAAAGTGAAAAATAATCGAAGTGATGAACGTCTCATTCATTCAAATAATCTTCGTGTTGCTTTCGTTTCGGACAGTTTAATACAAGAGGAGAAAGCGACGACGGAGCAGAGAGCGGAAGAGTTGGAATCCCGAATGGGCAGCATGGAAGTTCTCAGTGTCGTTGGCGGCGGTCGAGGTGGGATGTTTTTGGAAGGACGGCGTCCGCCGTCTCCGCCGCCGCCCTTGTCGCGTCCGCCTTCCATCATACCGTGCCATCCTCCTCCGCGGCCGCCGTACCACTCGATCCCTATTTCGTCCACGGGTTCGGGACCTGCGTCGCACAAGTACCATACAGTGAGTTGATATGCTGTTGCAAAATTTGAAAGAATTGGTTTTTTCGAGTGCGTTCTGTGTTGAAGTGAGGCTGGAGTTGAATGCGAACGGGGTACATAGTTGGAATGGGAAAAATGATGATGAAGTTTTGGGTTTACATTTTTGAAGCAAATGTCTCCGTTGTTTTAAGGATTCTGATCGTTTTCTTTCCAGATTTCCTCTTCTATATCCGGCGGATTTTCACCGTACGGTTACGAGAACAGTGGTCCTCACTCTGTTCCCATGTCTATGTCGTCAGAATTGTCTGCTAGTCAAGTGAGTCTCCAAGATGCCGGGGTGAAATTACGAAGTCTTATCTTTCACGATTACTCGTTTTTTTTTATATATAGTCGGGTCTAGTCGTGAATAATGTGATGGAGAATGATGGGAACCCGGGTTCCAGCGAGGCCCGCGCTGGAATGGGCGCTTCCGAACATTCGCCTAGTCCCACCCATAGTAACGAAGAAATGCGGAGGTAAGTGTAACTTCCGTCTTTCTCCTGGTCCCGGGTGATGCTTCTTTTCATCCTGTCGTGACTAATCCTGTGAGAGGTTGTGAAGATTTTGGGGCTTTTGCGGTAATTTCGTATTGTATTTCCAGTTGGTGTGAATCCTTTTCTAATTTTTCTTTTCCAATGAATGAAAATAAGAAAATAGGAAAATATGAAAATAGGAATGAAGATAAGAATTGATACTGTAACTGGTTTAAATCGGCTTTAGATACCTTTTTCATCATTCTTGTCTATTCTAATTTTTGCACACCGAAGTTTAGAAGGAGGGAAGACAGTGTTGAACATTCACGGTGAAAAATTTTACTGTTGAAAAATATCACTTGGTACCCTTGCATTTTCATGTTAACCGAGTCCGTCTTCTGTCCGAGTGTTTCCAATTATTTAAATTTCTGATTGAGATGATATGATTGAAAAAATGATTGAATCATTGAAATTCTCTAGTCTTCCTGTGTCCATTTAAAAAAAATTAACGAGTAACGATAATGTTACCGATATTTTAAATTGCTGTAAATTAAATACACTTTTTTGTTGCTTGGAGTTGCTGGGGATCCTTTTGCGGTTGTTTGCTAACCCTTTTTGAGCGAGTCTGACGGAATGGTTGTGTAGGGGCGGTGGTGCGGCTGCTTCGCCTTCTAGCCTCGGGGGCGGTAACGCTGGGTTTCCCGTGAGCACGTCGGCGTCTTCCCTGACCCCGGGCGGCTCCGGCCCGAATCTCATGTCCCGGCCTTTCGGGATGCCTTCAATGAAAATACCTCAGCATCAGTCCTACCTCACTGTGCCGAGATCTCTCAGGTCTTGAACCTCGCCGTCCTTGCCCTTCATTCCCGTTTTTAGTAGCGAGATACAATCAAGGGGTTCGAACCAAGTTCAGTAGAGTTTGCGGAAACACATTTTTTTCTGTGTCAACGTGGAAACAAGCTCTCTCTGTTTCTTTTAATCCACTTGAAGCCCAGTTTTCAGTTGATTAAACGTTCTTCGCGTTTTACAACCGTGATGAATGTTCATGAGCTGCGTTGTCTCAAGATCCCGCATTTGTTCGTACAGAAGACCCAACGCTAATCATATAACGCTCCTATAATTCCTTTTTTCAAAAATGAAAACGATCTTGGCTGCGAATACGTTTAAGAAAAGTTTGAATGACATTCAATTGATCTTACACACACTTCGGTCACAAGCTTAGTCTCTTTAAAGTTTAAACTCTTGTAAAATTATTCAGAATTTTAGCTCTTGTGATCCTGAATTGGCAGTACCGGTTTTAATTTTCAATATTTAGCCCAACTTCACTTCCAAATGTTTCGTCGTTTGGACTCTATCCTGCATTTGAACCGGAATATTGGAACTCCTAATGTATGAGCCAATATTTGCGAAACGGAAGTGTTTTCTATTTGAGTGAATACGGTATGCCTTTTTCTAATAGATTTGGAATTCCAATGAACGCAAAGTTGAACCTCTTGAAGAGTCAATGTATTTGTTGCTGTTGTTTTTGTTGTGCACGTGACCGGTACTGTGGTGGCTTTTTTTGTTGTTTCCTTTCTGTTTTGAAGTGCTTCATTTCACATGATCTAACGTAGTTCATATTTCTTAATCTTGTCGAAACAGAGCACCGATGGATACGAGTGGTGGACTTTCAGGATTTTATACGGCCGGTGTGTCTCCATTGTCATCTGCAAACTCGAGTCAAGATTCACTGTACAGTAAGAACGTGTATCCGATGATGGGCCCGAGTATGATGGGACCTGGTTCTGTAAAGAAATCGAGAGGGTTGAAGTCGTCACTCGGGAGGCTTTTCTCCAAAAAGGAAAAGGTATTGTCAAATGTGCGGTATTCAAGACGTTCGAGTGCTATTTTTTCTGTGTAACAATATAATTTTCAATTTTTCCTCTGTCCTGGGTGATGAAGGACTACGAGAAAATAATTTCCGAGAGAATCAGAAGTCGTAAGGAAGAAACACTTTTTTTTACGAGATAATAACATTTTTAATGCTGTCATCAGTGAACCCGCAAAATGAGATTAGCAAAGAAATGTGATCGATCATCGAGCAGCCGCTAAATTTAGTTATCGTGGAAATATTTGCGCTGAGAGGCGGTTTTCGAACTTGAGTAACATCTCATTACAACGAAGCAGTTGAGACCTGGGGAAAATCTTCGTTATGAAGATAACTTCGTTAATGCAGAGATTTGTACAAATTTGTAGCTTTTGGACAGAGACCCGAAGAATAAATTCGCTGCAAGCAATAATTCGTTATAACGAAATTCTACTGTATAAAGGTTCTGAGCATTCCTTTTGATTTTACTCACATTCTTCGCTCCATTTTGTAGCAACAGCAACAGGGACTCAAGTCACCAGGCATGATGATGATGGGTGGTCATGGGAGTTCATCCGGTGGCGGTGGTGGATCGCCGGTGTCTTACGCCGGCGGGTTCGGCGCCAGCAGCAGCGGATTCAGCAGCGACGGAGAAATGAGCGGCACAGATACGCTCGGCTTCAAAGACTTGGACCGACGCAAGAAGCGGAAAAATGAGCTGCTTGCCGAGGCGATGAAGGCTGGCACCCCATTCGCTCTCTGGAATGGACCAACGATCGTGGCCTGGCTAGAGGTTTGGGTCGGCATGCCGGCCTGGTACGTGGCGGCGTGTCGGGCGAATGTCAAGTCGGGTGCCATCATGTCTGCGTTGTCTGACACTGAGATCCAGCGAGAGATCGGGATTTCGAACCCGCTGCACCGTCTCAAGCTGCGACTCGCGATCCAGGAGATGGTGAGTCTTACGAGTCCGTCGGCGCCGTCGTTGTTTGGCGGCGATTGCACGACGCTGGCTTTTGGAGACATGAACCACGAGTGGCTCGGTAATGGGTGGCTGCCGAGCATCGGCTTGCCGCAGTATCGGTCCACGTTCATGGAGTGTCTGGTCGACGCCAGGATGCTGGAGCATTTATCGAAAAAAGACCTTAGGGTGCATCTCAAAATGGTTGATTCGTTTCATCGGTACGTTCTCGAATTATTACTTTTTTTTCAATTATGACCCCGTCTCTATGCGGAAATCATGTGTGAGGTTTTTCAGAAGTTCTGCCTGTCAATTGATATGTTTGGTTTAAAATCTGAATAGGATTGGAATTTGATGGGTCAGTGCTCAGTGCTTTGAAATGGTTGACTTCCTGGGCGGTATTTAAATCTTGAAAACACGAGAAAATGGAAGAACTTTTTTTCTTGTAAAAAGTGAGAACCAGAATTGGAAACTACAATACTGATTGAAATACTTCAGCTGTGAATGCAGATGCCGTAGAAGGTAGTAAAGTAGGGAATCCGAGAAAAGGTTCGGGAAAAATTGCTTGAAAGTTTGGATCTTCAATCAAATATTGAATAACCAAAAATATATTTCCTGCCTTAGTCGACACTTGGAAGTACTGTAGTAAGTTCTCTGACATGTGTTGTGGTGGTTTTTTTTCTTGCAGCACTGCATTACATTTCGGAATTGTGTGCCTGAAACGACTCAACTATGATCGTAAACAGTTGGAGGACCGACGAGCACAAGCAGAAAACGATCTCAGGGACGTGATTGTTTGGTCGAATGATCGTGTAATGAAATGGGTTTCTGCTATAGGACTTCGCGTGAGTTAACGTTTCCTGAGGATTTTTCCTTCTTAATTCTGTTCTGTTTTTTTTTCTTCATGTATTTTCAATAAATTGTGTTCATTTTCCAGGAATACGCGAATAATTTGATGGAGAGTGGGGTTCATGGTGCTCTTGTGGCTTTGGACGAGAACTTCGACCATAATGCTATGGCTCTATGTCTGCAGATACCTCCTCAGAACGTTCAGGTATTATTAAAAAAGCAGATTCTTTTTTTTTTTTTTTTAGGTTTTTGAGTTCATCGCAAAGACGGGAAACATCTGCGTTAATTTAAGAGATAATTTTCACTAATTTAATCACGTTGTTGGTTTGTCAACATGGTCGGTGTGGTAAATATCGAAGTGAGAAAGAAAATGTTTCTTCGCAGGCTCGAGGGCTGCTAGAACGAGAGTTCATTCGACTGCTGGCAGAGGGAACGTCGAGAACGATCCCGCAGTCGGTTTCTTCGTCGGATAATTTGGGAAGCGGCTTGTCAGAGCTTCCTCCGAAGTCGTGATGTTTTTTCCTTAGGGAGTTCAAAAAATAATTGTGTGTGGGGCCGGTAAAAGAAATATGGGACTGGAATCGCTGTGGAGTCTGCGCGGTCGTCGACTTTTTTTCCTTCCGCGCCGACGTTATTTATTCGCACGAGCGCGGCTCTCGTTGCTTCGCTCCTCGTTGCCTGACTGAAAAAACTGACCGGAACGCTGTTTTTTTTTTCTCTCTCAGGAGTCAACGGGAAACTGTTGGAAAGTTTCTGAACCTTTTTACTGAAAAAGGGGCCTTTGGCCGAACTTACTTTCTCACCTGAAAAATTGACCTTCAAGAACTGAGGATTTGCAGTATTTTGAGTCGTCTCCAGAAATAATTCTTTGCAGGCTTTCTTGAACGGGAGTCTTCCGTTTCGGAGACGTCAATGGAGGCATTTTAGTCTAATTAATTAATTAATTGAATCATTACTGTGACTAATCAACGTCGCATGTATCCGGAAATCAAATGATCGATTTGATGATTTTTATTTATCTTATACCTTCATATTTTTTGCATTCATAATAAACAATTTCATTCGTTCACACCTGTCGATTCCAGTGTTGGATCCATGTTTAATTCGAGTTGAAACTTTTTCCGTTTAGTTGAAAATATTGGTTAGACTGTTGGTCCTCGAAGAATCTTACTAAACTCAAGAAAATCTAAAGAAATCTGGCCCCGGGTAAAATAATAGCGTTTCTTGTCAAGAGATTTTCTTTTCAGTTGAAGGGTTGAGAAATTTTTCGTAGTTCCTTAATGGCTACCAGTGATGTTCGTAGCTGGAAAGTTGTTGAAGTTTTCGCTGCAAGCCGAAGCATGGTGTGCGTTCCAAGCGGTGATCGTAAGTTCGTCGTGTGGATCTCTTTTTTTTCGCTCGAATTTAGCCTGCTCTAGCTTTTTTTCTACATTCCTGCTTCTCTGCCTTTCGTGTAACAATCGAGGAAAGAAACGACGTTCTCTTGATCGACGCTGTGGAAACTGTTGGCATGGATATCTTGTTTTTTCGGGCGGAATTCTCGTTGAATCCGCTGCAATGAGTAATTCGTACCATAAAAATTCATTAAAATTGTGGAATAATTTTTCAATTTTTCAACTTTTTTTCTCTGCGTTCATCCTGCGCTTCCTGCTGTCGATCAGTAGAATGTTTGTTTTTGTCGCTGTTGCACCAGAAAAAAAACGACGGCTTCCTGACCGAGTGACAAGATGTCAGTCGATTGCCTTCTGGGAAATTATGTCCGCGAAATGCTTTCATTTCGATGCTTTGTGTTGATCGGGTGGGGGGAGGGGTAGTTTTGCTACGTCCATTTCTTTTTTCCCGGTGCCGTGATCAACGAAGCACTATCTGCGCAACTCATCGTTCGCGTTTTTTCTTTCCTCCCATAAAACTGATGACGTATGAGAAAAAATTGCGAAAATAAGTGGAAAGAAATTTTAGCGGTTCGTTGTTTGTGGGCGAATCGGCATCTCCTGTAAGGGTGGAAAGGAGTTTTTCATGTGTTTTTGACATATCAACGGCCCTTGGCTTTCTTGGTTTATTTAGTTTGCTTGTTTTTTTCTTCCATTTCTCCTCTGCTCGTGTGGAAAGGAATTTCGTGCGAAGTTTGTGGACTTATTACCCTGAGAGGCATACGGCGGCCCTGCTTAAAAAATGCTGTGTTTTTATTTTTCGGCCAATGTGGGTATCATCGTTTTTTGACGTACGCCGGATGGCATTTTCAAGTTGAAAAACGTCGTTCGCTTATTATCCGTGTTTACGCGAATTTAAGACGCAATTTTTTTCGATTTTGACTTTTTTCCAATGTGGGTGCTTCCTAGATTTGCTTGCAAATGCTTGTATATGCGGTGGCCCGAAAATTCAGCTCAAGGATTAACTTCTCAGCAACGCATGGAACAACTATCTGAACTCCCGAAAAATTTACTTCAAAAATATGATCTGAACTAAGATTGGAACTTTGGAAGACGGACGTTTCAGCACACAAATGTTTAGCATCTCTTGACTTCTTTCCGATTCCTAAATATTTTCATTTATTTTAAGCATCAAATTACAGTAGTTAACCCTATTCTATGAATCATTCAACATCTTTCTGTCGCTGAGGATAAACTGAAGGCATGATCTGAATAGAATGAAAGCATACATTTATTATCATCGTGAGATCATCTCGAAAATTTCTCTACGAGCTTTTTGAATGACTGTTCCTAATTTTGCGTGATCTTTAAATTCAATTTATTAAAGTGAGGTACTGTAGTATGTATAGTTGGTTACGGCCATGCCTTTGACGAGTATGGGAGTTCGAAAATTGATGCGTTTGTTTGTCAAATGTTACCCTGTACAATTGTGTTTCTGGCATATCCTGGAAGCATGCTTAAGATTCACCTGCTAATTTTCAAATTTTCATCAGTTTTAGAGACGAAAAACTTGGAGGTTGTCTTGATTTGATGGCGTCTTTTTTTCGCGTAAATTCGGTATTCTGGATTTTTTTTTTATTGCGCTAGTGGTGCAGGATTTTTTTGGACAAGCGAAAAAAGTAATGTGTAGGCTAGCGTTTCATTTGGATACCAGATGCAAGGCTTTTGAGTGTCCGTCGCGTGCCCGCAGATTCCTTACGTGGAGATAGATGCTCACCTGTGTTCTGGAGTCAATCCCGAAATGTTTTGACGAAGTGAGGGATTCGTTATTTTGCGTTTGAAGAAAGAAAAAAGAAACGGTTCTTACCACTGTGCGGTTTGTTCGTTGTTGCCGCGCGATGTTTTCTCTTGGCTGACTGCAGCTGGTGTTTTTTGTTTCGTTTTTCCTGACAATTGTGATCAACGAGAATTTTTCGGTTCATTTCTTCGGACGAATATTTTGCTTTGTGGATTATCGCTGTTTGGTTTTGTTTCAATGCGTACCTCCGTTTGTGTTTCGGTTCCTCTGAAACGAGGAAGAAATCAAGGCAGGATTTCGGAATTCTAGCTGCTCGTCATTTTTGTTGTAGGAAATTCGTGGACGGAAAGAGCTGTTATATTTTTTCTCTCGATTTCTGAAAAGAAGAAAGAGAAGTGCAAGTAGCTGTAGGATCAGTTGCGCAGGGGTCTCGTCATTTTCGTTGTCTGTTCGCCAAAAAAGGAAAAATGGGAAGAGCCAATGTGGATCAAAGTCACGCGGCAATTATGGCCCTATCCGTTTGCAAACCAAATTTTGCATGTCTGTTCGGTTTCATAACGGCAAATGAAAGAAACGCGGAGACAATTTATTAAGAAACACTTTACACTCGGGAGAAACGTTGATCGATACCGATGCGGTTTTCGGCGGAGTTTCGCCAATGGAAACAGAAAAAAAAGAAATCTACCACCTTTTACTTCTTTTACGCGACTACACAAAGGGTACCACAAGTAACTAAAGATTGTCAACACAACAAGAAAAACGAACTATTCTTAACACAAAAAATGTAAAATGTTCTAGATAACTCGAAAGCCAAGCCTGGCCATGATTGTGATTCAGGCGACATCTACGTGATAAACCAGAATGGAATGGCATCATGATTGCAATACTCGCAGATTGGACCTTCAGAGCTGCTAATCCAGGTGTTGATGAAATAATCATACTGTATGAGTTCTTCCAATGTCTAGATCTCTGGAAAACGGAACAATGTTTACATCACTTACTTCAGTAACACTGCACACGCCTGCGAAAATTTTTATGCACACCATGCCTGAGGGGAAGAAAGTAATGGATTTCTATATTAGTGTATGTGCACCCCTGTGTAAATTTAGGGGTGTTAGACTCACTGTGAATAAGTAAAGAAAGAATTTGAAATTACTGTACATGAAGATGCTGAAATAAAATGCATTACAAGTAGACAAGAATTTGCGATCACACTTTCCCCATTGTACTCATTGATTTCATACAAATTTATTACAGTTTTTTTTTCAATAACGGTCGGAGTCTGTTCCGACTTCAAAAAAAGAACATAGACCTGACCGAACATTTAACTAGAATACTAAAAACCAGAGGACAGCCCAAATGAAACTATTAAGGTAGTTCATTTTACCTAATCAACCGTGCTCAAATTTCAAATATAGGATTTGGGTTAGAAGCTATAATATTTCTTGTCTTGTCACTGACTCCTCCAAACGGTACCATACACGGCATACAGAACAACTTATTTTACCCGGAAATTGTATTCTGTAGATGCATCGATAGGAGATAGTGTGACCGACAGCAGATGCTGTTTTTTAGCAAGAAAGGAGAGCGACATCTCGCCCACAGAAAAAATAACGTTTTATTTAGGTTCCTTTGCTGACCGCTTGATGCCGGGTGGAAAACTGCGGGAAGTTCCCACACTTCCGGCGCGGGCTCGCAAGACGGCGTACAAATTTACTTACACCTAAAGTTCCGGTCGGGATTCGGTACTTGCGGAAATGCACGTATGCGTCACTTCCGCCCGCCACAACTGCTTGTGCCAAAATTGGCACCACTCTGCCCCAGCGCAGCGCTTCCTGCACCGCGGCCTCGGTGTAACGCAAATTCGCCATGTCCTTGTACTCGCGAGGAGACTTTCAAAAACACAATGTATTTGTTTTCGGTCATTTTAACTCACACCCGTGTCTTGGAAAGAACCCTCTTTCTTTCCATTTTCTGTCAGAACGGAATTTTGTTTGAATTTTTCGTGAAATTTTTAAAATATTGCCCTCAAATTCCGAATAAATTGGTATAGATATACTCTTACTCTCTACAGCGAAATTCAGTGGAACAGAAAAATGCGTTGCACAGAGAATTTCTTAGTAGAGAACCTCTGTGGGATGGGTAGAGGGGTAGAGAACTCCTATGGTGTAAAGTTTTCAAATTCACAAGTTTCAATCAGTTTTCAACTACAGTAACCGTTCAATTTATTCGCCTTTCGCTCAATAATTTGAAGCAGTGTATATATTTTTTTCAATATTAAGTTAAATTTCTACACTTTAATCATGAGAAAAGCAAGCTATAGCTGGGACCCAAGGCAATGTTAAACGGCGTGTATTCGATCTTGGAATTTAAAAAAGTATTGCTGGTTGACTGCAATTGTCGCTTTTTCCTTTTTTTTTATCGTTTGCGACGTGCATGTTTTTTTTTCAAACGTCAGTGATAACAATTTTCTTTCATCGATTTGCAAAGAATTCTCGCACGCTGTTTCTCTTAACGCTTATGAAATTGGCAGCTGATGGCTACAAAATCTTGTACAGTATTTCTCATTCGAGCAGCGTTTTCCTCTTAGAGTCCGAAGAAATCAGGATTAAACTAGAATTAAAACCGAGTGCTTTTTTTTTAACCGCCGAAACTTTGTGCGAAAAAAAAATTTTTTTTACTTGACGAAGTTCCGGTTCTGTAAAATTTCCTGTCTAATATTTTTCCTTTTTAACATTCGGACGTGAGTCCCGAACTGCAACGCGCAGCGAATATTGCTGATTACTTTTCTACACTTGATTCATGAACTCCTCGAGAGAGTCTCATTTTGTGAACTCTCATTTCTGCACTTGTGGTTTCCGCATTTCTCAAGATATACAGTACCCTACTTCCTTATGTATAGCTAGCTACTACAGTAAATACACTGCACAAAATAAACACCGATCGCCTGGCTGAATTGCGACCCGAATTCCGCTCGCGGAATCGGCTGATGGAAAAGAAAGAAGGAAAGCAGTGGGCTATTTAATCGGCAGACTCACCAGGGCATGTAATTAAACGTGAAAGCCCGGTCAGTGGACTGCAGAAGTTGTGCAGAACAAATCCTGGTTGCTGGATTAAGACTCGGTTGTCACCCGCCATTTGATGATGTTTAAAGTGGCGCCGTTGCGAAGCGGCTTTTTTTCGCGTGGAAGTCCACTAATATGCAGGTCATGTCTTGACGATCCTGATGGTGATGATCATGAAGATGATGTCAAAGATTTTTTGAATTGAAACCATTCCAAAGATGAAACGCCATCAATTGTTTCAGCTTCAGTAATGGGGTCTTGGTTAACAAATGCGTCAGCCTGAAAACTTTCTGGTTAACAAATTTTGGGGTAGGGACTTAGCTGCCTTGGCTAAGAAAACTTGACTTGGTTTTAAAACTTTGGTTATTTCATATGTGAATGGGTAAAAATTATTGTTGATGCATTACTCAAAAGTGTTTCAATCTGCATTGAACAGGTAAGAAGATTTTATTTATTTATAACTTTTGATTGTTTGAAAATGTTTCATGAGATCCAAAAAACAAGCTTTACATTATTAGAAATTTCAGAATTTTCTCAGATACGTAAGAGTGGGACAACCCTCAAATCTTTTCAAATTAAAAATTGTCAGAGGGCTGTTGTCTTTCACCAAGTTTCTCTTATACTTTTTATCAAGCAAACTTCTTGAATTATAAGCTCAGTAAACGTTCCTAAGGACACATTTTCTTGATTTTATGGGCAATTTCCATGTTTTGGAACCAATTAAAATTATTTCTGTACGTTCTTAAGGAAAACTCCCTTGGTTAACAAACTTGAATTTATCAAATAAATCTGGACAGCCCTTGTCAGAGTGGATTTTCCATTAAAATTCTGCTTTTGCCAAATGCAATATATTACAGTTGAACCTCTATAAGTTGAACCTCCCCAAGTCAAATACCTCCCTAAATCAAAATTGTTAAAGTCCTCATATGAATTCCCTTAGAAACAATGCATTAAAAACCTCTGTAACTTGAAATGTTTTTCTCCCAAACCTCAGTAAGTCAAATTTTCTGAAGCCTTTTGGTTACAACAGTACAGTATTTCCTTGAATTATGAAAGAGAAAGTCAATGAAACAAATGATTTTATGCATCTTGAAAGGTAGCGAAAGACTAATTAAGCAAATGAACCCCTGAGTCCAAGTTCAGCAAGCTGTAAACTCATTAAGAAGATTGCTTAGAACCAGAATATCCTCCTTTACAATTTCCTGCAATTTTTTTTTATTCTTCCTCACAGCAAAAATTATTGTTTCCTGAACTCAATGCCTACAAAAATAGAAACCTCCGTTAGTCAATTTTTTTTCTGGTCCCTAAAAAATAGACTTGGAGAGGTTGAACTGTATATAGTGATTTTTAAAGAAATCAGATCTACCCTAAATTTTCTCATCAAAAAGAAAAGAAAACAAAAACATGGCTTTTTACGTGAATTAAATTTTCCATTCAATTTTAATTGCATCTACTTGTTCATTTTGCAAGTTTCGCTTTTACTTTTTGTTCTCGAATTCAACAAAAGTTCTTCCGATGAAGTTGCGATACATGCGATTTCGTCTTGTTACGGAAATTTTTCACCAGTGAACAGATACCCAGATATTCCTGGTGGAAGCTGATGGTTTCTCCTGGGAACTTGCCATTTCAGAAGCGAATTGGCAAAAGCGAGGGCACATTAAATCGCTGCAAAATCGCGCGTTTTGCCATTTTTATCATCTGTAATCCCGATGCTAAACTGATTGCCGAATGAAGGTTGTTTATGCCGAAGGAAATCCATTTTATCAGGTTTCTTTCCCAAGTAAGTAAGCTTAGTAAGTAAAGCAAATCATCCGTTTTTGTTTTCGTTCAACTTTCGTGGCTCCCTTTTCAAAAAGAAGATGAAGAATGATCAACCCTTTTTTTTGCAGAGGGCTGAGGGAATGAGGATGAATATGGCTTGGAAGAGGTAAGAAGGTAAGAATCCCCCCAAGGAAACCTTTGTTGATCCTTTTCTCCTTTTCTACTAAACACCCCTGCCCCATCCCTATTTCTCTACGGACAATGCTTTCTTCCGCATTTTGCTTTCTTCAGGAAGTAGTTTCAGAAGTCATTTTCGCATACAGCTAGAAATCTTTTCTTCGATCATGGCTTTGAGAAGAAAAAGGGGAGAATGTTCTGGTTGCTTTTGAGCCGCGCCGTTCCACAAAAAAAATGCACAGTTGTTTGCAGTATTTGAGTGTTTTTCAGGACGTGCTGGTTTTGTGCCCAATTTAGTAAATAAAATGCAACTTTGATCAATTTTACGATTATGAATTTGCCAGCCCATTATTATGATTAGACATGGCCAATTCATTAAAAGATTAATAAATGTGTGCCTGTATTTTTTATGCATCAGAGCTTTCCCAAGGCTTAAATTTTTAATGTTCCCATTTTTTGGCAATGAAAAACTTAATAGTAAACATGTTTCCCTTCTCTTATTTAAGTTGAAATATTTTTGAAAAGTTTGTAAAATATGGAGCGGGTGGCTTAAAAACTGCTGTATCTTTTTTTTTTTTTTAGCAGTTTATGAAGATGATTTTCTGCTTGGATCGATCATTTCAGCAAATTAAATTTTGAAATAGAATCAACATATTAGTTCCTCTTTATGGGCAGTCCT